TGAGTGGCTCTAAGGGTGTAAAAAGCATCACCCAACGTAAATTAATGAATTGTTGAGGGACACGAACCATCGCATTATGATAAGATCCAGGTTTACTGCAAAAGAAGTAGAAGTGGAAAAAAGAAGTATCATGAGTAGTGTAGTACCGCTTATTTACTATGCTTTACGAAGAAGACACCTCTAAAATCGCGCAACGGTCAATGTAGGATGTGAGTGTGTTGATGACAAATTCAGGCATAACTAAAATGGATGGCACACCAGTTAAAAACCCCGCCTCGGTGGCCAGGAGACTGAGTTCACCTGACTTCTAAACAATGATCAATATGGTGGTAGTTCTCAAGAAGACGAGGGCACCATCCAGTGTAGATCAATGGTCGGAAGATGTATGCAAACCGTCGCACCATGTTAAGGTCAAGTTTCGTTATGACATAAGCGTTTTCGAGCGGGGCTCGGTGGCTTAAGAACAGCGGCTACGGCTGATATTTCGTAGGTCCCGGGTCAGAGTCGCAATCGTGCTATTTTAGTCTGATCAGTGCAAACTAGTACCAAACCGATGGTGGATGGTAGTATTACGAGCGCGCAACACGTTACATTCATTTGCTTCAGTGACTGAACTGCACGAAGCTCACTTTAAAGTGAATCGTGATCCAGACTGCGTCGCGTACTACAAAAATGACACGTCTTAAAAACAGAGATTAATTATTGGATTAAGGAGTATCCACAATTTGTTTGGGAGGCTCTAATCACATGCCTGATTTCAACTACATGAGCAACAAGAACGACTCAGTCGTGAGGAGTGGCTGTAGTCAGGTTGGGATGTACTTGATGCCGGTCACAAGCAGCCATACATTGGGTTCAAGGAAATGGACAGATAACATACGACCGCAAAAGATGATACGCTCGTGGTCACGGTCAGACGTGAATTTAAGCGGGTTTAACGTTTTGATTCGTTCTCCGTGCTGATTAATGTAATGGCAAACGTTTCACCACTTCGCTCAGTGGCATCTTCAGCGCACTGCTGGGTAGAGGACAATCTCACGGAAAGTGTCGTCGGGACGTAGCGTTTGAAATTGGCCTCTGTTCCATTTTCGGTCGCCCAGTTTCACGCTTTCTCAGGTATAGGTACACAGGGTGGAGGTCAAAGCGGATGATTACTGAATTCTCCGTAATCATGCCTCGAGGAGTTCTCTTCCTTTTCTTGTCCCGCCACGCACCAGAATTTCTGTGTCCAAGTTAACGTTGTGCCCTTCATCATCGAGATGCACTGTTCGGGGGCGAAGTAACTGTCAACCAGATAACAGCTCTGTTCTCTAAGGTCTGGTGTGAAGAGACAGTTCCATCCGCTTGGAGCGAGTCAATTATCGTCCTGATCTTCAAGAAAAGTGCCCGTACCCTATGTGCTAACCACTGAGGAATCAGTCTAATGCCCGTTGCCTCCAAGCTGTTAACATCTATTCTACTCCGCAGACTAACCCCGATTCGAGAATTACACTCCCGTGGAGAACAGGCTGGTTTCCGCCCCGGTAGAGAGTGTATAGACCGCTTGTTTACGCTCCGCCAACTCCTTGCAACGTGTCATCTTTACCGCCAGCCCACTATCATCAGTTTTCTGGACATTCGCGCCGCTTTCGACTCCGTCAAACGGCCATCTTTATGACGTTGCTTACAAAGGAATGGAGCACCCGAAAAGTATATCGCCATCCTTCGAGCATTATACTGCAATATCTAAGGTAAAGTGAGGGTTTACGGTAAGCTCTCTTCACCTTTTGTCATCACTAGCGGTGTACAACAGGGTTGCCCCATGCCTCCATTTCTCTTCAATTTTGCGATCAAGGATGCCCATTTAAATACTCTCGAGGGCTTTAAGGGTTCTGGTGTACAGCTGCTTCCTGGTAACCGCTTGCTCGATTTAGATTATGCTTATGATATTGCCTTGCTTGGTGATGACACAGAGAGCACACAAACCATTCTAAACCGCTTGGCGATTGAAGCATCAAAATATGGAATGACCTTTGACCCTACGAAATGCCGAGTTCTGGTCTTGGATTGGCATTCAGTAGCCCCAGTGGTTAAACTTCAAGGTACGCAGCTTGAACAAGTGGTCAACTTTGTTTATCTGGGGAGCTGTGTTTCTGGTAATGGTAGTATTGGAAAAGAGATTTCCCTCCGTATTGCCAAACCCCGTTGGGCATTCGTCAACTTCACGCATCTGAGGAGATGCCGAGATGTTTCACTATTGGTAAAGGACAGAGTCTACAATGCCTGTGTTCGCGCGGTGTTGCTTAATGGGAATGAGTCCTGGCCGATTCATGTAAATGACTTGCGTCAGATTTCGGTCTCTAACAATGGATGTCTGCGGAGAATAGCTCGAGTGTGGTGGATGAATCACGTGCGCAACGGTGATATTAGACGCCGCGTCTTGGGTAACACAGGACTTCCACTTGATAGACTGGTACCCCTGCGCTAACTGAGATAGTTGGGCCCCATTTTACGCATGCCACGCAAACGGCTGCTCCGACGAACTCTCTTCGCTCGCAAAAAACCAAGTTGGAAGAAATCGCGTGGTGGTCAGTCAATCGTGTGGCGACAAACCATTAAAGCGCTGATTTGCAGTTTAGCTGTCGTAGGTCCCATGCGTCTTCCGGGCTGGGGGATCAATGATGAAGAAAACCGCAGGCTGGAAACTCTTTCGGAGATGGCGTAGAACCGGGACCAATGGAAAATGTGTACAAATGTTTGTCTTGATTTTGGTTTTACATCGCAAAGATTAAACAAAAAAATAGATAAAACAGCATGTGAAAATAAACAAATAAAGAAAAGACACGATTCAAAAACAGGAAGAACTTTCGTAACTTTTATTCTCTTTTTGTGTTTTGCATTTATTATTTCCGTTTCATGGTTTTCGCTGGCTTTATGTCTATCTTACAGACTGCTGAATATATATATATATATATATATATATATATATATATATTATCGACAAGATGGCATATATATATAATCTTTTGGTATGTATACGTATTACATTTGGAAACGGCGGAGTAAAGTAGGGTGCACTTAGGCCTAAAGAAAAACACCAATTTCTTCCAACTAGTAACTGACAGTTAAGAAGGTTCATAGAAGTACATTTATTGCTGGCCATAGGAGGCCTGCGCCTACAGAGGGACCATGGGTGGCTTGCGCTGCACCACCCACAGATCCAATCACACACGCCATAGCAAGTGTAAACCCGAAGGAATAAGACCGGGAGGCAAGTGGATGGGAGCCAGGTTTCATCAATGGAGCCGGCCCACACTCCTTCACAGGCAAACACGAGCACGCTGTATTTGGGAAACAATCGCACACATAGCGGTGGCTGGATCGTAGTCCGCTCCAGACTGAGTGCACTGGACCATTCTTCGAGCCTAGTACGACCACAAGGACCCTACTCCCCGTCACTTCCAGCAACATCAAGCGCAGCCACGCCGGCAATATGAAGCAACAGCCAATCATTTGAAATAACATTACCAAACAAAATATACATGGAATAAAGTAAACGGATATGACGGCATAAATACTCGCTAAATGGGCATATGGAGTAAATTGGTTAGTAGCGAATCCGCGATAAGAGCAAAATGTCCGAAACTTATTTAAACAACACCACGTGCTAAAGTTACGCAAGCTTACCACAGTTAGCATGAACAACGTGTGCAAATTGGTAGAAGATTATCAGGTATGCAGAAGAAAGCAAATAAAGTGGCAGGAATTGTATCCACATTAAAAAGACCGTTTAAGTGTAAGCTGGTTTAGTCCAACTGCGGTGAAGAAGCATCATAAATGCAACATCAACGTCAGCATGGGTAGTAGACAAGTAGGAACCTTGTCAATATACACACCAAGCGCAGTCACACCGGGGATATCAAGCAACAGCCAATCACTTGGAATGATACTTTCCAATAAAATATGTCTTTAATTCATAAATTATGCCCATTCTCATGTCAAAAGGAAACTGCGAAGAAATTTCTTTTCGATAAATCTCTTCAGGCAATTACATTTATGAGCTTCATAATCATTTGTGCAGTAGCTATTGCTAGCGATGCAACACAAAGTCGTGAATGCTGCGATCGGATGAACGGTGACAATCTATGTCTATTTGAACCATTATGCCAGAAGTAAGGTGATAAAGCTAGAACCACGGGAGGGTCAAACTCTGTATAAGTGCACGCTGTTTGCACAGTTTCGGCTTCAGTTGCTTGATCGCAATTGCTTCTGCTGGGGCTTCTGTAGGGGCTTCCTGAGGCCGTTTGTGTAGCGTTTTGCTACTACATTTACTATTTTAAAGGCCTCTTTCGTTTGTATTTTATGTCCACTATATATATATATATATATATATATATATGTATATATATATATATATATATATATATATATATATATATATATAGACTGTTGATAATGTGGATCACACTGATCGACTCGCAAGCAATGCTTGGCATCGATGCAGAAAAACTGATCGCGCCGGATCGGGCATCTCATTAGCATGGAAAACACACATTACTTGCCTATCAGTCGCTACCATTTACTAGTAACTAAATTTAACTATTAATCTGATTAGGAGCATGTCCGTGTAGATGAGCCGGTAAGTGAAACGCTATGGTTCGATAGCTGGATATTTCATAAATCACGAAAATTTCGTTAAGTGTCCCTTGTCAACCTACAATCCAAAAGTTCATGGGGTTGTTATCGGGAAAGCACGGAAAGTGCTTGGTGCGATGATGAATGATGGACCACGTAACTTCCCGAATGAAGCGAGAATAAAACAAACAAAAAAGTGCGTGGTCCGTTATGTAATGCAGCTGGTATTGCTCTATTCTTGTAATTCGCGTAAAAAACACCGAGGATACATCGTCTAGCAAATTATGGAGCTAACTATATTTGTGTAAGTACGATGACAGAGAGTGGGCGATAATTGCGTTCTAAATCGTAAAGTGAAAGTCCACGGTCAGGCACAAAATACCTACTTTTGGACAAGATCTCGAGGAAGAAAATCCTCTTTGCTGAAAGCTGGAACCCTCTATATAATCAATCTCGTTTTGTCGCACACCGTCATTGTCGGAGGCCAGAATGAGCGGTCTAGCAAGGAATGAACCGGGTGAGTGAGAAAGCGACGAACTTCATTTGAATATGAATCTCCGGCCCTCTAGACCTGTGGAGAGAGAGAAGAAAAGTAACCAATTTGGTTCCCATACTTAAGGCTCACCGTAGCAAACAAGAATAATCGCAAGCAAATGAGTCCGAATAGCGACATTTAATAAGGGAACTATGGCCACAACAATTGGCGGTGCCACATTCGTTTCTCACTCCAATTTTGTGAAAGCATAGAGTGTATTTCCTACATTAGAATCAACAAGTCCTTCAGCGCACGGTGAGTAAGGTCTAAGGATGTGAACCGTTCCAACTTTCAAGGAGATGAGAGGCACAGAAGGTAATCCATGCAACACAGCAGCCGTGGCAGTACAGCTCGGTCAATTAACCATAAGCAGACACTGAGATATAGTGGAGTAAGTTGACACAACTGGTGCCAACGGGAGGATGCGATAGGGGACTAATAAACAGAGAATAACAAACAAAACTTGCGGACAAAAACCCAAAACAAAAGACATGTCTGAAGATGAAGGAAAAACAAAAAGAAGGACCAACCAAAGTCGAGAGTTATTGACTACGGGAGTGCCAAGTTGGAGGCCTTTACTCAACGAACTAGGTTAGGTAACCGCTGTATCAACAAACAAGACAAACCGGGACAAACGGCCATGGGATACTCGAAGGGTGTAACCTAGTCAGTCCGAGTGCAAATAATGGATATGTGAGTTTAAATCGGTATATATATATATATATATATATATATATATATATATATATATATATATATGTCATCAGACAATGCTTCGCCAGGATGAAGCAGAGGGCAGTGACTTTATTTAGTGGCGAGTCACATCCGCCACGTCACAGTGTTGTTAAACGGACATATGTGACTTTTTATAAAGAGAACGCTTGCCAGACGAAAAGCCACCACGTCCTGGAACACTGCCGCTAAACCATTTGCTGGAACGGGAAAATCCCGAACAACCAAGCTGGCACTACGAGAAGGTTGTTCGGTAAGCATGAATAACTCGGAGCTGTAACCAAGCATACAAAGTGCTACACAGGCAGCAGAAATAAAAAGAAATGAATGACTTTTTCGTGGTTTCACCGCAACGACCACGCCTTTGATCCAAAAAATATGATTGCATGCACTTTACACACCATTCGTGACAGGTAAGCCGATATAATGCTGCCCATATACAGCACTATGACCCAGAGCCAGCAGATGGGCATGAATGGCAAGCGAAAGAATAGGGTCTATGATCTGGCCACTGGAAACGATGCAGCATCTCTTCAGTTATACATGAAACAAGCAGAGCATCCGTTCGCCCTTACAGTAGTAATGGGACTATGAAAGGCACTGTTTCGATAAAATTCACCACTGGCCGGTCAACACTAATGCATCAGCGGCGATGTACTTCTAAATAAGGTAAGCTATTTGGTCTAACGCGGAAGCTTTTCTTGCAAGCCGCGATAGCATCTATTAGGAAAAACACAACGAACTGGATTTGCTAATGAGAAAAAGAGGGTTACGACAATTTTTGAGAATTAGTAAAACAATGTGTCAGGTACAAACAGCTATAACACGGGGGCCGTGCATCAAAAATTGCCTTGATTTATGATCCAAGTTTGATCATTATCGAGGTCAGTCAGTTCAGTTCCGCTAGACAACCAATATCCTGACTGAGGTACTGTGGATCCAGATGTCACTACTGGCGTCGTCAGATGACAAGAAATGACAGCTGTGATAAAGTGTAATATAAAGTATAGCTTAGAGAAGGAGAACGAGTTGAGAAAGTGACTGAGACTAAACTGGGCATAATAGTAACCGCTAACACCTAAAGGATGTATGTATGAGGTCCAGTGACTCGTCCTGAGGCCTTATCCACACCAGTCAGATAAAGTCCCTGTCAATCTTTTCATACTTTTATGTCACGTCATGGACTGGCCACCTTTCGATCCCACCCAACTAGGGGCAGAGACAGCATATAATACACATCGAGCAAGACGATCAACGAGCATACGGAGGACATGACCAAACCAATGTAAGCGGTTGAGCTCTAGCAAACACTCGAGTGATGAGGCACCAGAAGGTCCATTTCTAAACAACAACAACAACAACAACAACGACGACAACAACAACAACAACAACAACAACAAGGGGACATCAGCTCAGCTCGCATGAGGTATCCACCATAGGTTAGCAATGGTTTGCAATCATAGGTGAAAAAGGTCGTTAATTACATAATTTCTCCAGCGCGAAGTGGCCAGATCACAGATCCATACGCTAACATCAAACTTATTGCCGCGTTATACGCCTTATATTTCACAGACAGGTTGGCAGTACGTCGACTCGATAGGCCACTGAGCAGCTGAAGAGCCACAAAGGCCTTTCTGATATACGAATTAACCTCATGAGTGATGTAACCACCAGAGATCACACAAATACTGAGGTAAGTGTGCCAATCCACCACTTAAAATGGCTGTCCGTTGATAGCTAAAACCAGTAGTGCATCGGTTCAGTTATGCAACAGTACTTTCACTTTGAAGGTGCAAAGCACATGCCGAAGCATGCAGCCCAACGCTTCAGCTTATTAAGTGGTGCATGAACAACTCCTGGGTGAAAGCTAAGCGGAGCTTCAGCACCCGCGTACACAAGGTCTGCAAAAGGGTTGACTGACTGGCAGAATTTCCAATCCGAAACAGGCCGAGGGGACAAAATGAATTAGCATCATTTCGCTCGCAAAGCTGAAGAGAAAGGAAATACTTGACCCAGCTTTTCGTAAAGGGCTCAGGAGACAGCCTCCAGTAGACCCTTACCCGAAATCAGGAACTGCGGTAAAATAAGTTCAGAATGGGACGTTATTTCATCGTCATGCTCATCAAAAGTAGGCAGTGCAACAAGCTGGTACGATCAACTGAGTCGGAAACGCTTCTCAATCCGGGAAAGACAATCGCGCTCGGTCATGTAGTGGCGTCTCTCAGCTGCAACCCTCGACGAGTAATAAATATGTAGCCAATGCAACGACAAACGGGATGAAAGCGATCGTGGTTCTCACTGATTCGACTCTCCCAACAACTCCTGAGTCATCCCATAATGATAGTTGTGAGAAGTTATGATGTAATAGAAATGTTTCACTCAACTGGGCTAGTTGACGGTCTAGAATAAATCAACTATCTGTCTCAGCTATTGTTTTATCACCTCAGGACTTTCTTAGACTCGTGCTCTGGATGAGATGGAACCGCACTTCACCTTGGCATTCTTCATAGATCCATTAGCACTAACCAACGTTCCTGGATAATTTTAAGCCCCCGAGTTAGCTATCGTTCCATAGTACTACAGACACACTGAAAAGGAGCAACCAACAGTCTTTTTACTCCTTAGACCAAACTGACAGATGCCATAGCCTAAAGCTAACGAACCTGTCATGTAACCTGACGGCGTGGTTTCGAACCATGCAGTATCCTTAGCTCACGTGCGACCGGTGGTGGTTGCGCAGCAGCGAAGCGTCGGTACTGCGTACTTGCGTAATGCTGATGCGTTACTGCTGATGCAGAACACCACTCACAGTTGCGACTTCTCAAGTTAGGTGCCAAGTGGGTGTCAAGGAAATTCCTCATCACATTTCTGAGACGTTGCTAGTACGCATTCGGTCCACTAACTCCACCCATTGTTGACAAATGGTGAACCAGTTCGTTGTGAAATTACTGAATTGCGGAGTTTGAACTCAGATTACAAAAGAAAAGTTGCAAGAAATATTGTGCGGTTCGTTGAAGCAGGAAGAGTGAGGGTCATGCGTGTGGGCATTAACGTATGACCAGAATTCAGATATGTGCCACAACTTAACTGACAACTGATAAACATTGCGTGTCGTCGGCAGTTGGTGACACTGTTGCCAATATGGGTCCAAGATAATGAAAAATCAGGTGGGCACCCCGTAACGTGATAGAGATTTGCACCGGAAAGCTTTATTACTAATAGAATGGTCCTGACAAGTACTGTGTAGAGGAGATCGATCGAGGAAACGGCCCGTCAGCCGCTATCCAAAGTTTGACAGGCGACTTAATTGGATATTCAATTCATTAGAAGCAATCACTATATCAGTCAAGGCAAAGAGAAGACAGAGGTCAACATTTCGATTGTTCTCTTCAGTCGCAAACATAATACGAGCAGAAACATACAAACGATTATATAGATGGAAAAAATAAACAACACCAAACAAAATGTCGCAGTCAAGACTATGGCAACCGAATTGATTGCCTCAAGAGTTTCTATGCACATAGCCCAGGTTGATGGGACTTAATTAACAGCACCTCATTAATTGCCAGCATTATCGGATTTTGTTATTTAATAACACTTTGAACGCTGTCTCAGGGTTCACGTGATGACGGGTTGCCATGAGGTGCTTGGTGATAGACGATGCCGGGCTCTGATTAATTCTCAGATCCGTCCCATTTTGTTGCGTAATGACTTGTCCCAACCACGTTGGCAAATGTTCAGCTACCCTCTGAGCTAGCTGACGGTTTGTTCTGCCTATGTAAAGGTCACCGCAACCATAGGTGAACTGATAAAGAACCTGAGAGGCCGAACTACCCGACGAGATGCTCTAACGGTTATGAAAAACAAGTCCTCGCGTCGTATGCCTGAGTTGCAACTGGGCTGTCGTGTAGGTGCGCGTTAAGGTGTACCGGAGCTTCCGTCCGATATCATTTGCCACATGATCCCTTTGAACGGCAAGAACAAATAAAGGTCCTTTTTATCAGCCGTCAGCACCGGTGTTTTCACGCTGGGAGGTCTGCTGTATACTTGAATAAACTTCTCAGGATATCCACTGGAAATTAATATCTTGCGTACAATTTCTTCTTCGGCTTTTTAACGTTTTGGAGTTGCAAATACGTCTAGCCCGGCAGAAGAGAGTTTTCACTAAGCAACGTTTGTATGCGATCGGGGCGAAGCTTGAAAAATGAAGGTACTGTCCATTCCAAATCGATTTGCCGTAAACAGTGCGCTGCAATGTACTTTCAGCCCGTCTCCTAATGAGTATATCCGAAAACGTCAGGCAA